CCTTCCTTCCTTCCTTCCTTCCTTCCTTCCTTCCTTCCTTCCTTCCTTTCTTTCCTGTCAAAACTAGATATAACATGACATATAATTGTTGGGGTTTGGTTAGTTGTGTCAGACTCTTTATGACCCCATTTGGGGTTTTCTTGGTGAAAATACTGGAGTGGCTTGCCATTTAAAGGCGAGGAAACTGAAGCAAAACAGGGTTAAGTGACTTGCCCAGGGTCACACAGCTAGGAAGTGTTAGAGGCCAGATTTGAACTCTGGTGCTCCTGATTCCAAACTCAGTGTTCTATCCACTATGCCACCTAGCTTCCCAACAAGACATATGTGTGTATGTGTGTATATACGTATATACATATAATGTGTATATATACAAACACATACATACATACAAACACACACATATAAAACACATACACTTTAAAAAACTAAAACAGAAGAAATTCAGTTTCTTATCCATGTCTATTTCTTGTTCTTTTTTTAATCTTAAAGTATTTGTGGTTGTTCATGATTGTTTATGGGGAAAGAGAAAGGAATAAACATTACGTTTAAATAGTGCCTACTCTGTGCTGGTCACTGTGCTAAGTGTCTTACAAATATTCTCATTCGATCATCACAACAACTCTGTCAGGTAGGTACTGTTACTGTTATTCTCATTTTACTGATGAGGAAACTGAAGCAGACAGGAGTCAAGTGATTTGCCCAGGGTCAAACAGCTTGTTAGTATCTGAGACTGAATTTGAATTTATGTCTTCCTGACTCCAGAACCAATGCCCCATCCAATGCATCACTTCTCTGTTTAAGTTAATCACATTTTATTTTTATTTTTTTTAAAGAAAGAAGGGAAGATCATGAGTGGGACCTATAGGCGGTAGCTCTGAGTTTGAGTCATGGGGCCTAACACTTAACTAGCTAAAACATTTATTCATATTTAGCACAAGTTTCCTCATCTGTAAATTGGAGGTCCTAATATTCTCATGACCTTCCTAGAAAAGGACAACTATGTTAAGAGCATCTGAATTTTTTTTTTTAGCAAGGCAATGGGGTGAAGTGACTTGCCCAGGGTCACACAGCTAGTAGTGTCAAGCGTCTGCGGTCAGATTTGAACTCAAGTCTTCCTGAATCCAGGGCTAGTATACTAATCCACTGCAGCCATCAGCTGCCCCAGAGCATCTGAATTATCAATAAGCCTTGAAAACTCCTATCATCCAGAATATACAGATGTGAAGACTAAGATCCAGAGGTACCTTGATTTGTTCCATAACTAATAATAACTACACAGCCTTATCCTCAGCATCAGATAATAATAATAATGATGAAACAACAATATTCAAATGAACCTATGATCTTATTAATCTGAGTATTCCCTCCAGTGGTGCAGATCTCAACCCATCTTTGCCTAATAGTACATATACCCCTTGCCTGACTTAGCTATCACAATCCCCTGTGAGGCAGGAATTCTTATCATCCCCATTTTACAAATGAGAAAACTGAGGCTCAGAAAAGCTAAGTGACTCGTCTAGGGTCACATAGCTAAAATGTATGAGAGTCAGGATTCGAACTCAAATTTTTAATCCAATTCCAAATGATTTACTTACTCCATCAGGCTATTTTTATACCAGGGCATGTTTTATATGATATTGGTATGTACTTGCAAAGTTAAATTCATCTCAGTGATAGAATGCCAATTAACAAGTACAGAGAAAATGGGGGTGAGGTAATATTGGCTCAGGACAATCATGAAGACAATGAGGACAACCATGGGATTTCTAGACTAAAATGAGATAGGTATAAGGTATCATCCAACAGGCAGCACAATGTGGTGGCGTGTGGAGAGTCCGCTCTGAAACAGAGAAGAGCGGGTTCAAATGCTACCTTTGATACATACTAGTTCAGTGACCATGGGGAGGTCACTAGACCTCTCAATGCATCAGGAAACCCCCTAAGACTGCAAGTTAGAGATACGCTTTTGAGCTGCATCCATGGTAGAATTTTCCATACCAAGAATTCCCCACAGCAATTAATTAACAAATCCGACCTCATCTCACAACAAAAACAAAGGGCTCATCTAATCTGCATACAATCTTCAATACAGTGCTGAATATGTATTCCAATCAAGAAAATATCCATCATACCTTCAGGGAAGAGAATTGGTTCTAGAACTTTATACCTATGTAGCATTTTTACTTATACTTATTTTTTTTTTAATTTTTTAATTTTTTTTAGGCAATTGGGGTTAAGTGACTTGCCCAGGGTCACACAACTAGTAAGTGTCAAGTGTTTGGTCTGAGGCCAGATTTGAACTCAGGTCCTCCTGACTTCAGGGCCAGTGCTCTATCCACTGTGCCACCTAGCTGCCCCTACTTATACTTATTAAGATAAATGTATAAAATATGAATCAAATCTCAAAATTCCATTGCATACTTGTATATGAGTACAGTTAATTCTGTGCAGTATTTACTAACCTGCACGGATTCTCCATCTACTTGAACCTGGCCAGCTATTTCCATCATGTCAAGGGCCAGGTGGCAAATGGAGCGGGCATGGTGGATACAAGGCTCTGGTAAACCACTCACAGTCATATACTTATCACCGACAGTCTCCACCTATTATAGAACACAGAGCACCATTGGTACCATATAAAGTGACTATTGCTGTGGTCTACACTGCCTATTAACAACCCACCAAATTCTTTAGCAGCTTCAAAGTTTTCCTGTTCCTCAATTTGCTGAAAATTTTGAGGCAAACAGTATAGATTGAATCTTTGGTGTGACAATGCGACATTCACACATATTGGAAGCATCATTTGTGGTGTTGATACAGGCAGGTCTTATGGCAATGTTACTTTTCTTCATGAAACACCCCTCTGTTTCCCACTGATTGAGGAATGACTGAAGCAACTTCAGCATGGAATGTTTTTGTACTTTCAGAAACAATGCATTTGAAGAATTCAGAGAAGCTTGCAAGGGCTTGTATAGATTGATGCAAAGCAAAAAAAGCAGAACTAGGAGAACAATATCCAAATGACTGCCATAATGTAAGTTAAAACAAACAAACCATAGTCAGATGATCGCATATTAAACCACCAATCATTGGTTCCAGAGGACAGATAATGAATCACCCCTTCATTCTCTGTTGGGACTATGGACACTTATTGTTGCATACAATGGCAGATGTGGTAATTGTGCTGGTTGATTTTATTTAAGTATTTTTCTTTGTTACAATGGGAAGTCGATTAGGATGGAATGGAATAATATTGGGAAATGATGATGAACAAAAATGGAAAACAATTTCGAAAAACCACTGCTAATTTTCTGCACGATAGCAGCAAAATCCACTGTCAATGTAATCTTCCCTGAATCAAGGGAAGAGAATCACAGGGTGAGAATGAGGGCATGTTAGTCACTGAATAGAAGCTTAGTATATGATTTGTCACTGTCATTAATCTTTTTTTTTTCTAATGATGTGGCTGCCAGGTGCTGAGCTTTGTAAACCCAAAGAGATCATATAAAATAAACAGTCTTTGAAGAGCTTACATTATGCCAAAGGTCTGGGGATGATTTGGTTAACTCTCCTGACTTTATGGAGAAAGATTGGGCTGACTTAATTTTTTCCAACATTATATTTGTTTCCAGTTGTGATAGAGCACAGAATACATTATAAATATTTATGCTCAAGCTGATGCTATCTGAAGGCAAATGTGAGCCTTCTACCACCCCTCCCCTGCTCTGGGGCTCTCTTTGTGAGAAAAGCTAAGTAAAAATGCCTTTGTGAATTTTCCAGAATGTATGTTGTGTTTATTTCAAATGTAATCAACACCCAGCACAGTTCTGTAACCCTAAGAGTGAGTGAACAGCTGAACATTTCATTTCAACTAAGGAAATCATTCAGTAGATTCACCCTGTTTTCATTGAAATCACACTGCTCTTAATGAAATTGTAATGCTCTCAGCGAAATCACATTGCTCTAAATGAAATCATAACGCTGTCAACGAAATCACACTGCTTTCCAAAACATTCAGTTTGGATACAAGAAAGGGAAAGTTTCATAACATGAAGTAAATATTTGGGCAAATATTAAATGCTGAATAAACAGTGGCTTACTCCATGTCTCCTCAGCTACAATCATGGATTTGTGATGATGATGATGACCGCAGAGTCATTTCATGAAGTAAAGGCTCCTCCACATCTAAAATCTGAAATGACAACTCACCTTATAGACAAATGGATTTTTCCGTGAATCAGTCAGTATATCAAATCTGGTGTAGAGGTCATTTAGAAGATTGACGATCTTCATGGCCCCTTCTCCAGATGCATGTTTACTGCAGAAGGCATTGAATCCCACAATCCCACTGAATAGGATAGTGACATTGTCATACCTCTTGGCAGGTACTGGGCGTTTATGTCTCAGCTCATTAGCAACTGATGGGGGAAGGACAGAATACAATAACCTATATAAAGAAATAAAGTCAGACTGTGAATGACAACTGGAGAAACCTTACAACTATACCAATTCTATGTTTGGCATTTCTGCAGCCTGTCTGATCAAAGACCCTTTAAGGTTAGACCCTCTTACAAGATCACTAAAAAGTGCCTTACATAGTTATCTGATATACTTTTTTAGGTGAGGGAAAAGAAAAATGTTCAGATTTGGCCATCTGACAATACTTGACCACACACTGAATGGTAGAACTGACAAATGAAACCACAGCTCCTTCAGTGCCCTCTACAGTGATGCTATAACACAAAAGAAAGAGAAAAAAAACCCAAATAAAACAAAACAAGACAAAAAAAAACCCGAAACTCCCAAATCCTCTTGTAACCCTGACTTAAAAAACTATTAAAATCTCAGTGACACCAAATAATGGGGTGGGGTATAATTTGGAGGAGATGTTATTTTATTTGTAGAGACTATGCAAGTATAGAATAGGAAAGTACACCTATAAGGAAGTTCGGACAGGATAATAGAAACTGATGAACCAATCTGGAACCAATATTCAGGCTGACGTTTTTTGCCAACTAACATCCTTTTAACACATTCTAAACAAATGTATATACTTTGAAAATGTAAGCATTCACAAAAAAAGATACCTTCTTCAGCATTATTCCACATATCCTCTAACTTTGCAAATGAAAACTGAGAGGTTTCATCTTATTTTGAGAGACACTTCAGTTATATATCTCTTACTTTCTTCTCAAGCCGACAGTCAGTTTCTATTACAGAACACTAACAATGCAGGATAGTTATGCCTGCCCCCATTTATATAAAACATGGGCTCTTTCTTACGTGTCTGTCTTTTTCTTTTCATCTTCTAGTGCTCTCAGAGTGAGCTGCAGTCTGTCTGTGAGGATTTCCAGTTCTTGTGTCAGCTTATATTCCTCTCGGAACTGCTCTCCCAAAAGAACGAGATCACGGGTGGCATCATGCAAGGGGATGTCACTCAGATAGAGACCTCTCCTCGTTAGGTCATCCAGATTCATCACACTGTTATAAAAAGAAAGCATTGCAAATTTGTCCCAAATCATCCAAGGGGAATTAACACCACTGAGATGTGGCGGAAGGAGGATATCGAAGGTCACTGCCAATCCAAGCAAACAAAGATTACTAAGCACCTACTCTGTGTAAGGTTCTCTGCTAAATGCTAAAGGGCCATTTTGCCTAAGCTTCAAACTCAAAGGGTGCCTCAAACTTATTAAAGAATAATCTGTTTGAGTGTGGGATGAGAATTTTCGTATGTGTGCTTAATTTAAGTACGCTTTATTTCAACTGTGACATTACATTAAAACCAGACATTTACTCCAAGGATTGGTACCCTAGCAAAGAAAAAAAAAGCTAGGAAAGTATTTCTTATAGTAATTTAAAAAAAACAAAGTTTGGTCACCTTTTGGGGAGTGCTCTATTTTATTTTCATGTATCTTCATTTTTAAAACATTATGGCTCTGGCATTCAAAATATAGAAGCATCCTCAGCCCCTATAGACTTTTAGCAGGCCTTGTGAAAAAGAAAGTAGATTTCTCTGTTATTTAGTCAAATTTCCCTAAAGATATGTTGGCTGTTTAGAGAAATTTAATGGAAGTAATTAGCTTTGCTAGCCCTTAATTACAAATTGATATATTATGTTTCTATATCATAACTTTTCGGAAGTTTTGGTTATCTGCCATACGTTTTCACCACGAGTATAGACAAAAGATCAGGAAGTCAATTCAGAAAGGATCTTTATATTCTAGGGAAAATTCCTAATGCAGAAAGGATCTATCCTATTTTGTAAACACAACAAAAGTTATGTTAAATGGGGGCATTTAAGTTCTCTTTTTTTCTGTTTTTTGCATAAGGAAATGTCCATGTTTGATATCTTTAAGTTTATAATAATTAAAAAATAATTTAAAGGAATATATTACATAAATTACAATATTTATTGTGAAATTATAAGGAATCTCATCTAAAAGAATGTTTTATAAGCCCAAGATCACTTTAAAATTATGTCTTTAATGTACTGCCCTCAAAATATTATTTAACTGTTGTTGTACATTAAGTTGCATAATTTTTTTACTACACAAATTGTTACATCTGTATAAAGCATCCCAGAGAACTCAATGGCAAAAAGCAAAAGAAAATATAAATAAATATCCCTAGATATTCTTTATTTTAATTAGAAGAGTTTCACAGATTCCTTCCACATTAACTAAGAAAGCAAACTTTAAAATAACTTCATTTGTCTAGTTGTTTCAGTTGTGGCCAACTCTTTGTGACCCCATTTGGGGTTTTATTGGCGAAGATACTGGAGTGGTTTGTCCATTTCCTTCTCCAGCTCATTTTACAGATGAGGAAACTGAGGCAAAGAGGATTAAGTGACTTGCCCAGGGTCCCACAGCTAGTTCGTGTCTGAGGCCAGATACAAACTCAGTTCTTCCTGACTCCAGGCCCTGCACTCTATCCACTGTGCCACTTAACTGGTATATCTTTGTTGTCCCACTGATATTTATAAAAAAAAACTAAAAGCATCACAAATACATATACCAAACAAATTGTTTTACCTGAATTTCAACTCTATGGTAATTTAGATGCTGTATTAGGTACTGAACTTTTAAAAAAAATTTAAAACTATTTGTTTTCTGAAACACTTTATCAAAATAGGCCTAGATAAAGTAAGTGACATTATGGAGAGAGTTCTGGGCGTGGATATGATTGAAAAATGACTGACCAACAACAATGGAAAGATATACTAACATGTTCATAGCAAGAAATCTGTGCCTATTAGACATTCAAGTCCCTTGAATTTGCATATACATAATATATATGTGTGTATGTATAATTATTACACAAAAAACTGTAATTGTTTTATGACCTTACTTTTCTACAAGTCAGCTTTCTTTTCTTTTTTTTTCCTTTGGTGAGGCAATCAGAGTTAAGTGACTTGCCCAAGGTCACACTTAGTAAGTGTCCAGGGTCTAAGGTCAGATTTGAACTCAGGTCCTCCTGACTCCAAGGCTGGAGTTCCATCTACTGTGCCACCTACCTGCCCCCAAGTCAGCTTTCTTGATGGCTCTATCACTGAGTTTTGGATTAAGTTTTTCATAAATCTAAAAACACCTAAGTTCCTTTGTGCAATTATTAAGATGCAGAAAATAAAACATACTTAAAATGATTTCTCTTTAGTTCAGTATATTTAGACATCAAATAACATAATTGTAGGTATAGGGCACTCCCTATAAACAGTCATCAATATGTAATAGTAATTCAGAATATGAGAACACATGCTCATGAAATTGTATCGAACGAGGCAAAAGACGGGGAGTCCAACCTTGCTTCAGGCACCTGAAAGACAATTATCTGTTGTAATACCTTGGAGAGCACAGGAAAAGAATGCTCTCTGCTTCAGGTAAGTAAATCATTTGCCCCTTAAGGCGTAAGCAACCGATCTCAGTGCCAGTCAGTTCATCTTCACACTCCAGCTTCTCCACATCCAACAATCCTTCCTGAAGTGAACAAGCCATGGCTGTTAGTGCACATTAGTCAGATCCTCTCTTTCTCCCCAGGGCGCCCATATTTAGACATCCTTTTGGAAGACCCAAAATAGAGTATTACTTACAGAAATGTACAATGGTTAAAAGAACATCCGTTAGGTGAGGGGTTTTGAGATCTGCTTTTTTTGTTTTTATTTTTGCTTTTGCATTTTTGAAATTTTTTCATTTGACTAACTATAGTGCTTCTCGACAAAATTTGAAGGTGATTTGATTAATTTTCTCTTTCATGCTGCAAGATAATATAGCCCTATAATCTCTTTGCCCTCCATTTGAATTGTCATTCTTTAGTGCAAACAGATTCATTCCAGACTGTACCACAAAGCAAGCCACCAACCTTCCTCACTTCACACTGGCAACCAGAAATGGGACCAGCTGTGTATGTCTTAAGTATACACAGCTAAAGGCCTCCGAGGAAATATTTTGGGTAGTTGAGATAGAATAGAGAGTATACTATAGAAAACTTAAGTATATTCTTCAATTCTAGCTCCTTCTTGGTTATACCTCTTTTAGGGGATATATGCCTGTAAACCTCAAATTCATAAGTAATAGCATATATCAGTACATTTGGAGGGATACTGCAGAAGGAAAAAAGAAGATATGTTCTCCCTATAAGCAAGTGTGCATTAAAATATGGTAGGTATTTTAGAAAACTAAACCCCTTCTGGGAAGAGAAACTTAGAGCTATATTGCATCTTATGAACACATTGGAAGCTCCAGTACTTTTCCCCCCTTTTCCCCCAAAAGAAATTGATAACAAGAATCCAGTTAGGGAAATAATAGGGTGGTTGGTTTTATAAAAGCAAAACCAGAATGGTAAGTCAAAATTAAATTCAATTCAACTCAACCTCTTTGGGCTTTAATTTCCTTATCTACAAAAAGAGAGGTTAGACTAGATTAGACAACTTTGAGGTCTCTTCTATTTCTAATATCTATGACCATATAATCTTACAGACAAATATTTATTTAGCAACCACTACACGCAAGACATTGTGCTAGACAATGGAGATACCAAAGCAAAAAGAATGTTAGCCATCCAGGAGCTTAAACTTTACTTAGGGGTGAGGGGAGAGAAGGAAGAAAGGGAATGATAACACCTCACACACAGACCTGTTTCCCGTCTACCACTAGTCACTGTCAAGAAAAATAGCTTTGACAAAAAGGTAAAGTTCCAATTGAACTTATTTTTTATAAACTGAGTTTATTGGAGGGTCAAGAAGGTTTCTAGTTAATTGGACTTAGTATCCATCACCTGGACCAACAATACTAATTTATTACTTTACTGTTGGGTATGGTTTTTTGCAACTCTACAGTATCCATTTCTTGTCATCTAATGACCTCTATTTTTCTCTCCCAACAATTTTCAGTTGCTATTTATCACTTCTTCTATTTTAACTGAAATGATACTTTGATTACCTTGCTTCTCAAGACAAATACAGTGTTGATATGTGACAGGATCCCATGGAAACTGATGTCGATATGAGGACGGACCAGAGAGAAGACAGATAATAGACTGCAATTTCCAGGCTGAAGCTAAAACGTAGGGGGGAGAGAAAATAGTACTCAAATAATGTAAGACATACATGATCAGAAATCATTGTATTACTTAACTGGCAGTATAATACAGTGATATTAGTTCTTAGTCACTTTATTAAGTATAAGTTATACTGTCTTGAAATTTAGAAGAAGAAAAAAACAAATTCAACTAGGGGCCAGACTCTGAACCAACACAATAATTTGATAAGCATGGAGCTAAATGTTTGGAATCAAATGGAATTGGGATCACTTCTATTCAAATACAATTTATTTCAAGATGAATCTAAAAAGAGAAATTTGGCCTTTTAATGAGTAAGCTGGTCGATGGGATGGGTTAGTGCTTATCATTTTTTAAAGTTAGATTTTAACACAATTTAAAAAATAAATTGTATCAAATTTTAGATGATCCCTTTCTGGACTGTGTTAATTATCCTTGGATCTGTGATGAAAATAACAAAAGTGGGCAACCACCATGCTTTCCTAATTGAGACTAAAGCTGACTTTGGTTGTCCTCCAAATTGGGCAATTTGGTATCCTATTATGACAACTAGTTTTACAGTGAATAAGGTGGGATTTTACCAATGCAACTGAATCTACAGGGCAAAAAGAGCTTCAAAAAATAGAGAATGGAGCATTGAAGAAAGCATTCAGCAAGCTGCTTTTTCCGCACTATCCAATGTAATCTTTACTCTCCTCTTTCCGTTCTATGGTTTCTCTCATACCACTCTCCTCAATATTCTTCATCTCCTTCTAGGAAGTCCTTAGATTCTATTTTAAAGCTTCTATCCTAAAATGATTTGTTATAGGAGGATCATTCTCTCTAATAATTAAAATTAGCCACACTCATTTCAATTCCTCATTTTCTTAATAGATCATCCAAATGGAAAAATTAAACAGATAAGTGTGTGTGTGTGTGAGTGTGTGTATATATGTGTGTGTGTGAAGGTAAGAAGGGAAAATAGCACTGTGTATTTCAAAAATACATGCCTCATGTATCTATACGTCATACCAAAAAAAAAAGCTTTATGTTGTGAAGCACCACTAAATTTGCCTAAACACAGAAATGTTAGAAGGAAACAACATTTGATTTTTAGATGGTGTGGCACTAGGAGAGAGTGAGGTAATTTTACCTGGGGAAGCACTCTGTATATGGCATTTCCACACTGAGTTACTACTAGATCCCTGTCAAATATTATATGAAAAGGAAAAGCTTTGCAGAAAGTGTACGGGCTGATGCGGGATTCCTGGGTACCATTTTCTTCAAATCTGTCAAGATCTTCATAAAAATCCTCTTCCTTAGATTCTTTTTCTTCAATTAGAAATTGTGTGTGGTCACATTCTTCATTTCTTTGCTGAATAACCTGCTCAAAAGAAATAAGGAAGAAAGATAAATAGATGATAGATGCACAGCACTAGTGACCCGCTTTTCACTGGCATAGTTAAAACACTCATAATATCTTCTAGAACATAAAGATGATGTGAACAATAAGGTTTCTCATATGAATTAAAATGCTTATATAGATGTACAAGTTCAACATGTTCTTGAAACAAGGAAAAAATGTTCAAACTCAAACAAATAGATATCTGCTTTTCCCTCTATAGACCATTAATGAGAAGTCAGAATAACCACTTAAAATGAAATTGCAATTTTGAGGAAAAACTACATTAAGAACTATGTCTAGGTCTCTTTAATGAAAACTAACTATTTCTACATTCCTTATTTCCTTGAAAGAATGTATATTTTGTTCAGGATATAATCCACATGTGAATTTATTACTTATTTTAAAAATTCTTAATTAATAATGAATATTTACAAGTTGCTGCTATTATAGAGAAATAAACAATGGAAATTTTCTTTCTCAACATAATTTTATTGTTCTGAAGTTATGGAAATAAATATGATTTTGGGCAAGAACTCTAATGAGTATTGTTAATTATTCAAGGATTTGAATATTGGCTATATTTTGCACTCAGTAATGAAAATTACTTGAATGCATGAGAAATAGTAAAGATAATAATAATAGTAATTTAATTTATATAGTGTTTCAAGATTTGCAAAGTGCTTTAGAAATATCTTATCTTGGTTCATTCATTTATTCTAGTGAATGAAATAGTTTTGTAGGTCATACTCACTGGCTTGCTTGTGTTTCTTCATAAATTTCTGCTGTTTTCAATGCTTATTATCCTGTGCAACTCTTGTCCATTTTTTCCCCTTCTGTAAAATCTCCACAGAGAATCTACTCACTCCATGCTGTAGGCCTTAACTCTTTTCTTTTAATAATTCGGGGAGTAACAATGCAAGACTTGAGCTGTACAGCTGTTATTTCTTACTTTAGCAAAATGACCAGCCCATCTCCTTTTCCAGACTTACATGCCATTAAAAATCACTCTTATAGTATTTCTCAAATCTCTGGAAATATGCTGCCACCTACCGTCATTTAATTCACCTACAATTTTGCTTCTGGGATTGTAATATTCTATGACTCACAATCATATAGTATACACCCAAGGGCATACTGGCATTGAAATGTAGGCTTCCATGACAGAGCAGCTTGGAATCCAGGACAGATTAGTAAAATTTCCCAAATCCTCTTCCTCCTTTCAATTCTGGGTTCAGCTCATTATCTATCTGCTGTTTGTTTACACTCATATAGACATACTTGGTAGGCTTTCCATTTATATGCATGCCATAGTCTTGGGCAAGAGGCCCTTTATATTCTTGGTTTTTTCCCATGTGGATATAGTTGGCTTATTCTCTTTTGAGGGTTCATGGATCTCATTGAGATGCACTGTACTGATCCCAGGACTCAATATCATCAGTACTATGTCATCTAGAAAAAGAATCTCACTATTTTCATTGACTAAAATAAAATAATGGGTATCTTTATTCCTATTACACATTTAAAGCAGTAGACACCTAGAGGTTAAACACGTTTTCCAAAATCAGACTACGGCCAGGCCCACACAACTAAAACATATGAAGGATGCATAGCGATCTTGTGAATTTAACAAAATGTACACGCAGACAGTGGATAGAGTTCTGGGCCAAGAGTCAGGAAGACTCATCTTCCTGAGTTCAAATTTGGCCTCAGACATTTATTAGCTGTGTGACTCTGGGAAAGTCACTTAATTCTGTTTGATTCTGTTTCCTCATCTGTAAATTGAGTTGGAGAAGGAAATCGAAAACCAGTCCAGTATCTCTGCCAAAGAAAACCTGTGAATGAGGTCATGAAGAGTTGGATACGACTGAAACAACTCAACAACAAAAGTGAGTACCCTCAATAACCATCACATGAGTAGTCAAGGAAATTTACAGAGACTCAGGATTGTAGATCTAGAACTGGAAACAACTCCAGAGGTCTTGTAGTCCAACCCCCTCATTTTACAGAAGTGAAAACTGGGGCTCAAGCGCTGTCACACAGAGAGTGTCAGAGATGAGATCTGAACCCAGGTCTCCTGACTCAGCAGAACTGTGTTCCTTCCATTCTACCTTGGACACTGCCCTTTTCACATTCCAAGTTTATAGTGCAAAATTCCAATAGCTAACAAACATTTTAGGAGCCAAACATACTGTGAAATGTGTAATAAATAAGATAGCAGCATTTGCCCTGACAAAACTGGTAATCAACTGGAATTCTTCTGACGTCATCCTCCCGTGTCTGAGACTCTAATCACCATAGCAACAGCCATGCAAATCTTAATAAATTACTAGCTTTCAGATATTTCAAGTTACTTTTTTTTTCCTCTTTCTGTGGTTGGCAAGCACCTGTGCTTATTTAGTTTAGGTAATTGAAAAGTCAGAATAATAATAAAGGAAATAATTTTAAAATTGGATTTAACTTGGGGTAAAAATAGCTCTCATCATTCTTCCAAAGCCTGGATGTGAAATCTCCCTTGGGCTACAACACTGTTAGTTCACTGTCATTTTCTGAGGGTTACATAAAGGCAGGAGGATCTGGTGCAGACTAGGGTGATCTGTGCAGCGGGTTGAATTTGGATTGTGATATAATGAGAATTGTTCTCTTTTTTTGGGTGCATTTCCCCATGTCCCTTGGTTGGAGATAAGAAGTGAAGTGAGGTATCTAGTTAACTATTTGATTATGTAGTCATCTAGCTGGAGCACATGCTGCAAGTCAAACCACCTAATGCCTTCCTGAATGGCTGACAATGAGCTTTTCTTTAATAGTACCTTTGATATAAAGTTGGAAGACAACATAGACCTCATCTAGTCCAATTCCCTCGTTTTATAGAGGACAAAAATGAGGCCCAGAGGAGTTCAGTGATTTTCCCCAAATCATACAGGCAGTAAATGAAGGAGCCAAGATTTGAACCCAAGCCATTATATTCTAAACCCAGCATTCTTTACCACACCATAGTGTTTCTCAATTCTAATGGTCTTACAATGTTGTTTCTAAATTTGTATATTATCTGACCCATTATAAGTCCACCATAGAAAGTGCATAGCTGGTGGTCCAAAGTAGGTAGAGACAAGAGATAAATAAAAAAGGGAGAGAAGAAATCAGGGGTTAGCTGGAGCAGAGTCTAAGGGACCATTCGGTCTCAGGAGACAGGAAGAAACAGGAGGCTCAGTGCCTAAGGTGGGGAATTGAGGGATCAGAGTTCAACAAGAAAGAGCCTGAGGGCCCTACATCAATACTCTTTGGATCATCTAAAGTTTTACATTAGCTACACCTCCACTTCCCTCCATTATCACAGTCAGTTAACAAGTAATTATTAAACAATTACTACATGCCAGGCGCCATGCAGATGATAAAGAATCAAGTGCATACCTTTCCAAGGCTATGTCAAATTGGAAGATGCACAGTCAGTTACTAATGGGAATCAACATTTTGTATTTTAACAAATAATTGCTGGGCACTTTCACTCACATTTTTATATTTGAAATTGAATTAAAATTATACAGTTCCAATTATGACAAGTCTTTTCCCTTCTTTTTTTTTTAAGGCAATTGTGGTTAAGTGACTTGCCCAGGGTCATACAGTTAGTTAGTGTTATGCGTCTGAGGCTGGATTTGAACTCAGGTCCTCCTGAATCCAGGGTTGGTGCTCTATCCACTGCACCACCTAGCTGCCCCACTTTTTCCTTCTTGTGTATAAAAAAAAGGTATTCTTTAGATAACCATGAAGATGCTTAGCCTTACAGATTATGTTAAGTATAAAAGAGCTGAAGACAAATGGAAAAAGGAACCAGCACCAAGAATATCTTTCTATACCACAGCAGAGTTGAGAGAAAATGGCAATTAAATTAATGGCCCCACCACATCCAAAGGGGAGAACAGAGTTCAGGGTTTACGAAAAATGCAGAGTTTTAAATGAACACATGATAATTATCTGAGAGTTTTTCTTCATCTAAGTAGAACATTTTTTTTCGTTGAAACAGTAAGTATAAGTCAATAATGTATACTTTTAGAACAATAGTAACTGGATGCATAAGAGAAAGACAATGAAGCCCAAGTACAGACATTATAAATGTGAAGTTCTGGGGCCCTATGCTCTTAACTTATTTAATCTGGACATACACAGCTAGCAATAGTGGTCTCCTATTTTTCATTTGGTTTCAGCTGCTACAGTAATCTATTTAAAAACAGTTTATTCCTATAAAGGATGAGCTAAATGAATATCTGTGATCTGTGACTATCCACCAGCTCATTAGAAGCGGTCATTCGTATTGCAGTACTGCCTCTCAGATCTCTGGATTTGCTAACGTTATATTCCATATGGTATTGGTGGCCAGTCATAGAGACTAGTGCTAAATAACCAAAGTCTGCAACATTAAAAAGCTACAAGCAAGTTAACACTAAAGATCATTGAGTTAGAGTTAAAAACAAACCAAAAAAAAAAAAACCCAAACACAGACACACACAACAAAAACAAACAAACAACAACAATAATCTTACAACGCATCCAGTACAATTTTTCAGATGACTAAACTGAAGCCTAGAATAGTGAAATCACTAGCCCAGTATCACACAGTGGTAGAGACAGGATTCAAACCCAGGTCCTCCTGGAATGTTGTCACCCTATGACTGACAAGCAATCACCATCCAAGAAATGTCACTGCCTTCTACAGAATTCATTGCTCTAAGTGACTTGTGCGTTTATGGAGAACTACTACTTACTTACATGTTATGATTCTGCCAGTGATCAAAGGACCTTTTGATCAGTCTTCTTACCATGATATATCACATGCTCCTACTTTCTTTAATACTTCAAAAGATCTATCAAGACCTGTCAATGGAGATTCTACTTCAACCAATAAAGACTGCAACCCTTTTAATGATATCAGAGATTGCAACAGATGGCTTCATTGTAGTTGCTGTGGTCAAAAACATTCCACCATTGGCAGCCAGCCTTTTGGAGATGAGCCCCTCAAGCTTAACTAAGCTATCTCATGGAGAATAGATGTGTAGTCAATTATTACATCCATGCATGGAGCCTTTCCAGTTTGGTAAGGTCCGCCAAAATTTTTACTTCAATGACATGATCTTCAAGGACCTTTAATGGAGAGGCATTCTTTTAAATAGTGTTTTATTCTTCTCTTCCATTCAGACTAGAGCAGATTACTAAAATTTCATGTTACAATTACCTATGGGAGTTTCCATGAAGAGATGCAATGTGGTAAGAAGGCTACCTCTACCCCCTGCTTAGGCACCGGGTGACTGAGATAAATCTACGAGCATGAGCATTCTTGCCATACAGTACCAAAGTGGGGTCCACATGCGGACAGGATAACAAGAATGCACCAAAGTAGATCCAAGTTGGCACCAAGGGATCTCGTATATTTTTGTCTTCAAGTCCATTTTTTAGCAGCTACAAGCCTGGATACCAGCTTCTAGAGAATATAATTCTCCTTTTGAGCTCTTTATTTCATTTTTTAAGACTCCAGGAAGAAGGGAAGTAGATTAGAGGAGTCTTTCAAATTGCTTAGAGTAGAGGTATCAGGCATGCAACACTCTCAAGTGCTAGGAGCTAGATTAAAATATAATTGGGAAATAATTAACAAAATAAATAAAAATGCAATAGAACATGGAGAATGTTAAAATGAAATTTTCTGAATCAATGCATAGCCTGCAGGGAATGACGTGTATAAACTATGTATGTAACTATGTAAACTACTATAGTTTAGTGGCCTCTATTTCTACTAAGTTTGACATCACTGGTCTAGAGGTCTTCACCAACAAATAATGCTATCTGAATTTGGTTTAGAAAAATATAGTTTTAAGCTGGTCAACAAAATATGAATTATTCTTGAATGTGGTTGAAAAAAAATCACAGCTTTCACCAACAAACTTCATTCCGTTCTATTGAGCAGAGATTCTGTGCAAAGTCAATAGCTGCTCCAGTTGAAGAAAAGGCAGCTGGGTTGCACAGAGGATAGAGCACTGGGCTTGAAATCAGGAAGACTCATCTTCATGAGTTCAAATCTGGCCTCAGACACTTACTGGCTGTGTGACCTTGGGCAAGTCATCTAACTCAGTTTCCTCATCTGTAAAATGAGCTGGAGAAAGATATGGAAACCCATTCCTGTATCTTTGCCAAGAAAACCCCAAATAGGGTTACGAAGAGTCAGACACAAGCAAAACAAGTCAACATCAGCAGCAATTGAAGGCTCAAGAACACTGCTGAGATTGTCTAGGGATCCAGGCCTTCAAAAAAGTCCAGGGAAAAGATAGAATAGTTTCTCCAATGCTGAGCCTTCATTCAGTCCTTAATTTCCTTAATTTTGCCTTAATTTCTCAGATGGCAATTATTTGGCCTTGAATTAGCTGTTTCCTCAAAGTGGAGAGGCTAAAATGGTCAAAATGCCTCATTGTATTGATCTGAGTACTAATCACTTACAACAAAAATGTAGCCAAATGAAAAAGATATGACAAGATACCCAAGTTCTCAATCCTAATACTTTTATTCATGGTTAGCAACAACACAAACTGAGAGAAAGGGTATATTTCTACCTTTTCAAGCCTTATAACTGAACTTGTTTCACCAAAGGGTACTCCTTATGTAGCAAGAAAACAGTCCAGGCTGCAAAATGTCACCTCCAGATAGTTATTTTTAATATTAGAGAACAAAAAATAAAAGGATAATTCATCCTAAGGAAATAGAAAACAATCATCATATTAGCTGTGTGTGGACCTTGGTTTCCTCAACTGTAAAATGAGGGGATTCATAGGTTTAGAATTAAAAAGAACCTCTTAGACCATCTAGTTCAGTCCTCTCATTTTGCAGGTGAGGGGAGTAAGACCTAAAAGAGTTTAAGCAACTTGCCAACGGTCACACAAATAGTAAGCTCTGAAATAGGACTTGATCTCAGGGCATTTGACTCTATACCCAGGGCTCTTCTCACTGTATCATGTTGGTTTGGAGGCCCTCCAACTCTAAATCTACCACCCTGTGATTGACAGATCCATAGGCAGAGACAAATCCACTTAATTTAATTTGCTTAGCTAATTTCTCCTACTAGATTGGTTTCTTCAGCCAGTGTATTCTCAGGGCCTAAAACTAAATTTGGTATTGTCTTTAAATCAATCCTAATCAAAAGTATAAATTATCTACTTCTATGTATCCCCTTCCCAGCTCTTAAGATAACCTTCTTTCCACCCTAAAATGAAATTTATTCATTCCAAAGATAAATACAGAAGACTGTTGCTTTTTATGTGATTCTGTATTATATATACCATTACTCCCATGTATTACTGGCTCATTTATCATTCCAGTAGGCTAATCACCATCCACATTCAAAATAACACCTATCACCAAATATTACCTTCATGTCGATCTCGGTGCCATGTATCTGTTGGGCTACAGTTTTGATGATGCCAATGACAATATCCTGTAGTCCTTCTCTCTCTGAGTAGTAGTGTAGAATGAGTCCTTTGCCCTTTTCTGCATCAGTGCACCTAAAAGAAGGTGCACGCATACCTGGATAGATAGTAGCAAGGTGGTCATGGAGAGCATCAAGGTTCTGTAGAGAGAAGGAAAACAGGAAAGAAAGCATCAGAATTGTGAAATATAAAGGGCTTGAGAGAAAATGACATCCACATATAAGACTCAGGTGTGGTTGACACAAAGAATGGAATTCAGCCTCTTAGCATACCTTTAGGGTGAACATAGCACATCTTTCCTTTTCTTCCTAAGGATATTTGTATAGTGTAAATCACAAGAGAAGCATGACTTAATGAGTACGACAGAAGTGTACTTAAGAAGTTGGATAAACAAACAAGGATGGTGCCTGCACAAAAAAACTACATAGAGGAATAGCAAGATAAGATTTTTCCCACTTGAGTACTAAGTTAAAGGTAATCCACCTTTAAAAAAAAGTCTGGAAATATCTTTATAAATAATAATAAATAATAAACAAAGCAAAAAAGGCAGAATCAGAAGACAAGATTACACATTTGACTTTGACTACACAAAAGGAAAGGTGAATGAGATGAATCTATAAACAAGGAATTTTGATGGGTATTCAGGGGTAACTAAAAATTATGATGATACTTTTATTCATTAAAATTAATTTAAAGGTAAATAGTTACTAAGCAAGTTTGTTAGATCATACTGACATTCAATTTTAAGTTTTTTAATGAAAAATTTAACTTTTTTTATAAAAGATACGCCTAAAGTGTATGCATCTGTGTAGACATGGACACATGTCATGAGCATGCCTAACAATATGTGTATGTCTATGTGTATGTATTAACTAATACCGTATATCCTTTTGGCAATGGATCCACTGTGGGTGTGAGTAGGCTGCAACATATAACAAATGAGGAACTGCAAAGAGGAGCAAGAATAAAAGATCTCGTGGAGGAAATGTATGCCACATGTCACATGGGTAGGGTGAAGGATGATAGACGGATAGCTGGTATTCTACTGGCATCCTCAAAATAGCAAGAAAAAAGCGAGGAAAATCCTCCAGCATTTTTAGGCAGAGTCTCTATGGCAAACTTTATGAGAGGAAATGGAAAAAAGAAGAAGAAATAAGTATTTCTGAAGTACCTACCACATGCCAGGCACTGTGCTAAGCACTTTACAAATCTTATTTCATTTGATCTTCATAACAACCCTGAGAGGTGGGTGCCATTAATTATCCCCATTTTACAGGTCAAAAAAAAAAAAACTGAGGCAAACAGACATTAACTGACTTAACCAGGGTCATAGAGATAATAAGGGTCTGTGCGGCCAAACTTGAGTCTTCTTCACTCCAGGTCCAGCTCCCTATCCACTGCACCACCTAGATGCCTCTGCCTATGTTGCATATGATGGACAGGTATGGATGAATTATGACCTGCATGCTTGGAGGCAACATCCAAAATGAGGAAACTGGAGATACATTTAAGTGCTGATTATCAAATACTGGCTAATGTTCAAAGTGAAGGACATTCAAGAATGAATAGCTATTCTGAAAGTTATTTGTTAATTTATATACCTGTATCCGAGGTATCATCAGATGAAAGGAATTTGACTTCCTGATGACATAGAAGGGACTTCTAAATCTCCAACATATTTGAGAAATTTCATTTTTCATTGACCCCCTCCCCCCCAAAATCAATCAACAATTATTGGTTTATTTTAATTTTTTTCAAAAATTTAAAATTAATTTTTTCAGTATATAAAAATATATATCTCCCTCACACCCATCCCTCCTCATGGGGGGAAAAAGTATTTCCACAAGTGTTTATTAAATACCAGCTATATAACTACATGCACTGTGTAGGTGCTATGGATATACATAAAAATGATACAAGATGCAATAACAGCTACACCATGAAACAATTAGGTTTGAAACAAAAACTAAGGATAATTCATTTATTTGCTAAGTTGTGACATAAACTATATCAAAATTTTACGTACCTAAGATATATACCTAAGTCATTATTGTGCAGACGATTTTTTCTTTTAAATGTTATTAATACCTATTTATTTGCCACAATAGACACTTTCCAACAAATACATGGATTATTTTATTGTTACTTGAAAAAAGGAATGTGTCCTTTAATTTTGAGGGTATGGGACAATGATTATTTTATTTGGCTGGAATTTTATTGCCTCTTGACATTGATTTTATTTACTGTTGTTGTAGTAATTGTGTGTGTGTGTGTGTGTGTGTGTGTGTGTAGAAAGAGAGAAAGAGACAGAGAGACACAGATTGAGAATTTTGGGGTCTACTCTGAATCACTTCATGAGTGTATGTATATGTACATATGTAGATATACATATACATGTGTGCCTAACACATATATTCATAAGCATGCATAACCATATGTGCATGCATACATGTATGTTTTAACTAATATCGCACAATACTTTCGCCTACTTTTTTTTTACTCTGAATCACTTCATACATCTTCCTATATTTCTTTGAATTCTCCATAATTACTATTCCTTATAGCACAATGATATTCCATTATTTCACATATCACTATTTGTTCATCCACTCCTCCATTCTTGGGCATATATTTTGCTTCTCACTTTTTTGTAAGTGGCAGGGGTTTTTCAAAAGAAATGAAAACATAAACACAGGAAAAAACAAAATTCAGGTAGCAATTACCCCAGGCAAGTGTATCTAAGAATACTTCATTACTGGGCTCAAGGAAACTCCTTTATGTCTAGGTAGCACACAGTGAAACAGAATGGAAATTGTTTTAGACAAAACAGGGCCACTCTGTTCAATGGAAGCATCTGGATTGATGCCTCTGATTCTATGATATTTCATATAGGGTAGCTCACATTTACAGGGTGCTTTAAGGTTTTACAAAGTCACTACTCACTACAACCCTGTGAGGCAGGTATCCCTGTCTACATTACACAAATAAAGAAAATGAGATTCAGACAGGTGAAGTTGATAGGGTCAGTTATGAAGTGTCCGATTCTACCCCCTCTGCAAATCACTGGAAACATGAAAGATTGAAACTATAATAAGGCCTTGTCTCCAGCTAGACAAATAGATATCACCTCAGAAAAATAATCAACATATTTTTTTCTGAAGATAAGCTTAGGTAATCACATGGATGCCCTAGGTTACTTCCAATAATGTTGTATAATTTCTCTCTTCCACCATCCTAACATATTAATCAAAAAGCAAACATTTTAAAGAAGTGTTTGATTGAGTCAATATATTTTGAATATTGTCCAGATCAGGGACTGGGTTTCTTTATTCTCAAAATAACTGCTTGCCATGAGGAGAAAACTAGACCCCCTTTCAATAAATGCTTTATTTACTCTTGATTGCCACCAGAGAGCAGTGTTGCTACAGAATATTCCTATATTCTCTATGATGGCTCTTTCTTCACCCCTAAATATTCAGAAAATTACACTTGACTGGGGGGAGCAAGCAATTTTTCTTTTGACTGTTTAACCCCATGTTCTTAGACCTGTATAACCTCAGAATTCAAGAGAGAAAGTTTGGAGGGAGAAGAGCTGGGGCATGGGTTATGGTGATTAGCCATAATACTCACAGATTCTTTACCCCTCTTCTTCCTTAGATTCAGAAAATGGTAAGGACAAAGTTGTAGTTTTGTTTTTTCCTACACCTCCAAAATCACTGAGTAAGGTTCATGCTGCTTCTGGGTTTCTTTAAAGCAGCTGAGCCCTATCATCATGAGACAGTAACCATATGATTCTATTCAATTTCATAAATATGTATTAGGTCTTTGCAAGGTACCGTGCCCTGGTCTAGGTAGTGGTAATACAAAGCCATATGTCCCTAGTCCAATCATCCAGGAGCTTGCAATCTAAGAGTGAAGAGGGGAGTAGGGAATATACACACATGTAAATGTGTGTGTATATACAATTACACACACACACACACACACACACAAAGAGATACAAAGTCTATCATGCTCAGTTTAAAGTACAGGTAAAGTGCTATATGAATTTCATTCCTCTTTACCTTCCTGAAAAGACAGAGCAATGGCTCACATAATGATTTAATATATCAAATGATCTGCCATTAAAAAAAACAAAAACAAAACACAACACCGTAGATCTTGCCTTTCTAGTATCAAGAAGGATTATATTTACATCTTCCCAGTAAAATCCTACTCAGTTGCCTTATAATGGTATGAGATGACCCCTATCTTCTTGAACATTAGGCCCCCAGAGGGCTTTCTCTGGCTTGGAGTGAGGGCCCTAGCCCAGCTGAAATCAGAGAGGTTCACAACTGGAAGACTTATTAATAGGTGATGACTTTTGCAATGGGGAGAGGAGCACAGCAACTCATGAAGACTGCCTACTGAGGCATGGGGATGTTGAAACTGTCACAACCACAATGATGAAATTATGAACCTTTTGAAATGCTGAAGAAGTATCAATATTTAGCATTTATATAGCACTTCAAGGTTTGCAAAATTCATTATAAATATCTCATTTGATCATCACAACAACTCTGAGAGGTGGGCATTATTATTCCCATTCTACAGATGAAGAAGTTGAGGCAGAGAGAGGTTAAGTGATTTGCCCAAGATCATATGGCTAGTAAGTATCTGAGAATAGATATGAACTCAGATATTCCTTACTTTAATCCAGCATGCTATCCCTTGTGCCACCTAGCTGCCAGTGAAGTATGTTATTTTTTTTATGTATCACATACAAATGACCTTCTATACTGTACATATTTTCCTATGAACAATTCATAATAAAATGAGAAATATGACATGTCAGAAACATTTCCCACTACAAGTCTTGATGATTGATAAAATTAGCTTCTCCTTTCATTAGTATATGTGGAGAGAATAAGGAGATAAGCTGGAGTGAGATGAAGTGATCAGGTCTGTTATACAAAGATATGGGCATTATCTGATTTCATGATTACTGGTAGTTACAATTAGAAAATAAGACATAGAATGTAAACTCTTGGAAGGAAAGGCCTGTTTTTCATTCAGACATATCTCCAGAGCCTAGAGTAATCTCTTACAAATAGTAGTCCCTTATTAAATGCTTGTCTGTTGGATACTGGATTATATTACC